ACTGGTACTCTGCACTTGAGCTTGCCTAAAGGAGTGTGTCTGAGCTCAGCTGCTGGCGTTTCCCAAAGATTTCTGAAGGAGGAGGATTCTTTGTCCAAGCAGTAGAGGGCAGCAGAAGCAGGATAGACAGCCAAGAGGATAGTCAGAAGTACTCATAACCTTTCATGGCCTTTGTAAGCCCATGTGCACATTCTGCATCGTGTTCCTTGCTAAGGAGTTTGCTAGCATTTATTTTGCAAGCTTATATGAAGGTGAGCAGGTATGCTCTGTACTTACTAGGAATTGAAGTAAATTCAAGACAGATGTTAAAAGCTTTCTCAAGAGGAGTCAGAACTCAGTAAGATAGGCATCACCAGCAGAGATAAAGAAGTCGTTATCCCTCTCTACTCTGGTCAGACCACACCTTGAGTACTGTGTCCAGTTTTGGTCCCTGCCATACAAAAAAGATGCGGACAAGTTGGAAAGGGTCGAGAGAAGGGGCATGAGGATGATCAGAGGACTGGAAGACCTGTCATATGAAGAAAGACTGAGAAAACTGGGCCTGTTCAGCCTTGGGAAGAGAAGGCTTAGGAGGGATGTTATTACCGTGTACCAGTACAATAAAGGGTGGCTACCAAGAAGATGGTGATTCCCTTTTCACAAGGACTCACATGGAAAACACCAGGGGTAATGGACACAAGTTGCCTCTGGAGAGATTCCCATTGAAGTCCAGAAGAAACTTTTTTACCATGAGATCAATCAGACATTGGAAAAATCTCCCAAGGAAAGTGATACATTCCCCTACATTGGTCTGTTTTAAGAGTCAGCTTGACAGGGTGCTGATGAATCTCATTTAAACTCTACTTTTACCTTGAGAGGTTAGACTAGATGTTGCTTGTGGTTCCCTTCCAACCTGGCATTCTATGATTCCGTGAAACAGTAAGAAACCTAGCAGTGTGTTGGCACAGTAAGTGACTTACAGCTGCATCTAAGGGTGATGAAGCATCAGGACAACCAAGAGTGTAATGCTGTGCTGTTCTAGTGCACTGCAAATTAAGGTCTCTTTTTGATACAGGAGATACTTAGGAGGAGGAAAACTTGAGTTACAGGAATGCAGGTACACAGGTATCAATCAAAATACCCTGCTTACTGGGCAGGCTGCTGGGACTCCAGGTACAGTCAGAACTTTCCTGCATGGAGATTTTTGAGACCTTGTGCAGTGGCATGATCCCTGGGAATATTGTGGACTAAAAACACACTAATGGCTCAAAAGGAAAATATATTTTAGTTAAACATAACAGAGACTCCGTGATCTGGTTTTGGTTGCTGGTGGATTGAGGAATGTTGGTGGAAACAGGGCGCTTTCACCAAAAAAGCAGATTGAAACTGCAGAACATAACCTGTTAATATTTTTAAGAGGTGGTCCAGCCTTTTGCTGTGCGTATAAGAGTCAGACTTAAAGATTCAGAAAGTTTTGAAATACTATATGCTGACTCTGGAAGTGTTCTCCTTTTTGTTCCTGTATTTTTGACTGTGCTTGAAGACAGAAATGGCTGTTGTTTCTCACCCTTCTCCTTCTATTCCTTCTCTTCCTCCTTGCCCACTTGCATGAGTTGAACGAGCTAATGTGTTCTCCATTGCAGTTTAGCCTGATTAATGCTGTACATGCATTCAGCTACCATGCTTCATATTGCAAGGGGTGGTGAGGGCCCTGTGACTGGCGTTACTTTGAGCTCAGTTAGCTGCTGCTTGAGCCTCTGTAACAGCTTGTGCACTTTTTTCTGCTAGTCTGCCTCAGCTGTCAAGCAAATACAGTTGGTTCAAGCATCCTTTATGGGTTTGAGGAATGCAATGAAATGAAATTATGTGAAAATGGTTAGAGACTTCATATTAAAGGTGAAGGGACTAGATATGAAGTCTTGGTTGGTGAGTAATCATGCTGCTAATAGCACATACAAAATCATCCTAAAATCATCCTGGAAACAGTTTATTCCTACTGTTATTTTAGAATTTGAGCCTCAAAATGATCAGCAGTTCTGCTAATCCAGGAAAGGAAAGGAAAAGTTTCCCTGAAGTGACTAATCCATCAAACCACCTTCCTGCAAAGCAGGGCCTCCTGCAGGAGCTGCGTCTGGGCACACAGCCCTGTGACCACCTAAGCTTTCTTTTGGGGGCCTTTGAACACTTTTTCACAGCAGAGACCTGTATCTTTTTGTAGTGTGTTTTGGTTCAACATGAGAGATCGTTTCATCAGCTCCAGCTGTGAGAGGAATTATCTCTGTTCGAGATTTTGAAGTCTTCTAGTGCTCATTGGGAACAGTGGGTGGCCTTTTCTTTTGAGCCTCAATATCTGTTGACTTGACTCTCATCTTCATTCATCCTGACTTTTGTAAAAGCAAATCTCTGAGGGAAATTGTTAGGATTTGACAACTGTGTCAGCAGAGTCTGTGTCTGACTTGCTGGTGGACCTGCTGACAGGAGAGTTTATTCATTAGAAAACAAAGGGAATCATGCCCATGTGTATTAGGTTGCTTCCCAACATGGTAAATAAGACTGCAAGTCCTACAGACATCCTGCAGCACCCGTGTTTTTGTGGTAGCAGTAGCCCCTACACATACATAGAAGCATATGGTTAGACCAACATGTATAGCAAACAGTGAGTTTCACTCTGTTATTTACATGTAACTTAGGCATGTGGTTTTTATCACTTTGTATTTCCATTAGAAGGAAATGGTTTAGAAATATACTGTGGTAAAAGGCAGGATGGCTGTGGTCTAACTGTCCTCAGCTTATCACCCATTCTCATCGCAGCCCACCTCCTCTGAACCAGTTCTGACTGGTTCAGTTTACGGGGTTTTTCCACTAAATAACCAAACTTTCCTGCAAACAACCACCCCAGCACCCAGAAGCCTTAAAAATCTACTTGTCCTCTCATTCAGGCTAAATAAATAAAAATTAAAAACTTAGTATGAACAGTATATGTGTGTATAAATAAACTTCAGGGATATGTGAGCTGTTGCAGATGTAAAACCTGCAAGCATGTACTTAAGAAACTGGGGGGGGGATAGCTGTGCTTAGCATGTTTTAGGGTTGCATGAAGGCAGGGGGTTTTTTTTGCAGAAAGCATAAAAAGCTGGGTTTTCTCTCTGTTTTCCTGTGCTGCATGGACAGCATCTTTCAGTTTCATGTATGAGACATGACAAGTGGATCTGGGGATAATTTTAGTGAAAGAGATCTTGGTTTATTAATGTAATCAAGTGTTTCTCTTGCAGGGATAAAGGTAGAGAGACCGAGATGGTAATATCAATGATGCTACTGAAATCTACAGTAACTGCATTCTAAAAATACCTTTGTATCTATTTTGTTTAACTTTGATTGGAACGGAGCCTTAACAAATAATAGCGTGGGGTATCAGCTTTTTCTCAAAGAGAGTCTGACTAAAGACTAGACACCACATCTTTCTTCATACTGAAGAATAATGTGACATTGAAAGCAGTAATTAGTTGAATTACAAGCTGGAGCATAGGAAGTTCCATGTGAACATAAGAAAAAACTTTTTCACTGTGAGGGTGACAGAGCACTGGAACAGGCTGCCCAGAGAGGTTGTGGAGTCTCCTTCTCTGGAGACATTCAAAACCTGCCTGGACGTGTTCCTGTGTGACCTAGTCTAGGTGATCCTGCTCTGGCAGGGGCGTTGGACTGGATGATCTTTCGAGGTCCCTTCCAACTCCTAACATTCTGTGATTCTGTGGATTGCCTTCAGTATTGCCTTCAGAACTGAGCCCGACTTATATTCTCCTTCCCTTGCGATGCTGTGAGTCCTGTGTTACAACAGGACTGCATTTCCCCCCGGCTTGGCTTAGCTCTTCAATAGAAAAGATGCAAGGAGCCAGCATTTATTGTTCTGTGTAAAAGAGTTCCTGTTTAATACATTGAAAAGCAGAAAATGGATAGTTTTAAGGATCTTTTATTTCCTGAGGAATTTATACGAACAGAGAAACGAATCAGGGTTTCTAGACATCTTGGTACTTGCTGTGGAAACGCTGGAGAACAAACACAGGCCTCACAAATGGAGGAAAGCTTTTATTGCCCCCAACATTGTTACAGATACAGTGAGTGTAAATGCTGCAGGCACTTATCTCCAAATTTGTGGCAGTGTTTTGCCCCACACTGAACAAATGCTTTCTCTCAATGTGCCTGCTTCCAAATTTTTCCACAGAAATTTGAAAGGAACTGACATCTGAGAATTTTTCCTCTATTGTGAAAACACTTTTTCTATCAAAGCTACAGATTTAAGGTTTTGCTTGACTTAAAAAGGTGTCTCTAAACAAGATAATGTTCATGATCATTGCAATTGTTTTCTTTCTTTAAAAATACACTGTGCAGGTTTTCAGTCTGTGTCACAGTGCTGGTGTGAGGCCTGGTGGATTCTTCAATTTCTGTCCATGCTCACCTTGAGATTTCTTTTATGCCTGTCTAACTTCTTAATTCAAACATATTATGTTCACTTTTTAGAACTGTCTAATTTACTCTTAAAGCACACATCACTTCAAAATATTCAAGTCATGATTTGGTGGATACATGAGAGTTGCAATAAATCACTGAAAGTATAAATGAACAAATACCTGTGAATTTACAGCACAGGAATCCCCCTAATTAAGCCCTAAGCACATTGACAAAACACATCTGTGCTTTATATGTCAAAAGCACCATTACACCTCTAAACCTCTGCATGGATAACTACTTTTAACATGAACATGATTAAAATCCAAGGTATGTAACCTTACTCCTATTGCCCACCTCAGTTCAATACTCAGAAAAATTAGGAAAACTACACTGATATATAAACACTAGTAGTAAAGCAGAATGCTATGTGCTGTTCTATGCACTAATGCCAGAAAATTATTTTGGGATTTTTTTTTTGTTGTTACATCTAACACAGAGAGCAAGCAAGTCTATATAGGTAAGTATATGGCAAAGCAAATTGAAGGCAATTTTGTAAGCCCTTCCTAAACCTGCATTTATGCTTTCTTTCCTTGGTGCTTCATTGGAGCCCACATTCTGTAGATGAAGACGAGTACGATGAGATAGTACATGGAGCTTTTCAGAAGAAGGGCAACATACACTAAATATGCTGTCCTGTGCATTAAGTGATCTGTAACAAACATAAGACAGAAAAGTCTTGTTTAATGTCAGTATTGTACAACCCCCTAAAACACAGGTAGAACTAAAACTGTTTGCTACTGCAATTACGTTGATTCCAGTGGACAGTGCGTAAACACATACAATGTCTGACTGTGCAGTGGGTTTCCATACCTAATAAGTTCTAGACGAAGCAGATTTCTTAGCACTAGACTGCCTCTCAGTGCTGCTCGGTTATTATTCCCTGCAAAGGCAAGAATGTAACTCAGTGCTTCCAGCACTGATTAAGGGTAGCACTGAGGTTTGCTTGAATCCTTTTGTGTTGGATTTTTTAAACATAAGTGCTCATGATTCTTCCTAAATCCCTGTTCAAGCTGAAAGAAGATTTCTTTGTCAAAGTGCTTGGCAATTGCTAGGCTGATGGAACATCAGCTGAAGCATTACACATTTAACTACTTCAGGTATTGAAAAAAGTAGCACTTAGCAAAGACTAATAATCTAGTAACCCAAACAACATCTGTAGCATCCTAATAAAGCTCCTAATAAAGCTACCTAATAAAGGTAGGAGAGCCCCTTCTTATAATCCACAACAGAACTTAATTCAGAATAGCACTGAAGCATTTTTAAGTTACAGACCCAAGACTGAAAAGATTTCCTATTAAAAAGGAAGCAATTTAAAAAGTTGATTTTAATGATGTCCTGAACATATGTAGCAATATCTAACTCTTGTATGACATGCATAACTTTCCCATATTTTAATACATTTTATTTACCTTTATTAAACACTGTACGGTTTCCAGGATATGTGCTGCAGTCCCCTTCCTGAAGAGTCTTTGTAGAATCTAATGGAAAGAGAGTTTAAATGCCCCAATTAGACTTTCCTTTAAGTTTAACAAACATGAATTGGTAAATAGGGAAAAGAGAGGCAGTACAGCAACAGTGAAATGTGAAGGCAGTATTAACAACAACAAAAAAAGATGTTCAAGATCTGTCTGCAGAGCAGATGTTCACAAATAGGATTCATTTGCAGGTAGAATTTGAAGGGGGGAAATGCTCGTGGAGCAGTGACTGCGTATTTGTTGCTGTAAGTGGGAGGTTTGCCTTTACCCTTTCAGGAATGTGTCCATTAAGCTGTTCCCTGTCAGCGTCTTAATTGGAACTGCTGTCAATTTGACCACCTGATCTTGTCACTGAAGTAGCTGGAGTCTGTTTGCCTTCATAGTGTACATTATTAGAAATGCAGAATAATTTACATTGGGAGGCACCTCAGTTAGTCTGTTACTGACTGCTCAACACTAAAGAATAATCTTGAGGAGAGTCTGATCTATTGGAAATTTGCTCTTTTGGTGGTGGTTGTTCTCTAAAATAAACCCTTTTTTGTGCTTGAAGCAGCAAATTTTGTTTGTTCTTGGTTATGGTGTTTGTATGCATTGATACGTAGGCTTAAAGACATCCATATTACATTCCTAAATATATCCTCAGTCTAAATAAACTTAAAGCATATTTTTGTCAGAATATATTTTGAAGGTTGAAATGTTATGGTTATATGTGTGTATATGTGTGTATATGTGTATATATATGTGACTTCACCCAGTGGAGTCACAATCATTTATAGTAAGTTGAACAGAGGTAGGTATTGAGAAGACATTAATCTAGACCAATATAGACAATTTTTCTTTAAGTTATTACCATTATTTAAACAATATAAATTGATTGTATGTTACTTTTTTCTTTAAAATTGTATTGTCTTTCAGATTTTGCTTTGCATAATCAATCTGTCCACAATTAAATGAGATACCTTATTTTTATACTGGTCATTACCTCACTATTGCTGGACTGTGAGTAAGTAATATATTTAAACTTTGCTCTATATCACCAGCAACCCTGTTTATAACTCCTTTTTTTATAGCTGTGACTAACGTTAGGGAGTGTTAGAGGGATGTACACCTGTAAGCCATGGGTTACAGAGAAGTAATGCTGTCTTCAGAAACTTCTGTAGACTGGAAAGTAATCAACACGGCTCAGTGCAGACCTTTTGGAACTCTACTAGTTTACACCTGATGAGGTTCAAGAACTGCTCTTTTCCTATGACGAAGGAAAGTTCACTTGGGGAGCACAGCACAGACTGGGTTGCTTTTGCTGGAAAAACTTTGGTGGTTTCTCTGGTTATATATTTTAGATAGTTACGTCAAGGAGCACAAATGCTTTCAGGAACAGTAATAGAAAGCAGTATTTCTATAATTTTATTGCAAAGAAAAAGTGATGTCTATAATTATACATAAAATTATTTTTTTAACATGTATATACCTTGTGTCAGCAGTGAGTGCTGTTGGCTTTCATGCTCATAATTGCAGAAATAGTTCTTGTTTTTGTTCTCCACTGGTACAGTTAACCAGCTACCAACTGAGTATTTCTCCTCTTCTGTGGATTTCCAAATGTCTCCTTTTACTACGTTGTCTGTTACCTCCTTATTTTCTCCATCAGTCCATGTCACCCGAATAACGTTGGGGTAGAATTTCTCAATAAGGCAAACATACGTTATTTGACTTCCATGTGTCTTCTGCAGGATTTCAGAGCTTGCTGGTGGAGAATTTGCTTTATCTGGATTGATTGTTGGAGGAAAAAAAGTAACAAAATAGAGAGCTGGAAGATCAATAGTGTATAGCAAGTAAATAAACAGCCACAGAATACAAATTCTGAAGAGCAACAACCTAATTTTTTTATTAACAAATGTTTTAGCTCTCTTAATTTGTTATAAAGTACTTAGGATGGGAATGGAAACGTCTCGTGTATGAAAGGAATTTTAGGTAATAGGATGGAAGAATTGCAACTATTTCCATCATTGAAGTAAAAATAAGGTTTTGGGCAGCTGGGCAAACCTGATATTCAGACACACTTTGTATTAAATATTATTTCAATTGACCCAAATGGCAAGTTTTAATTTTCAGTCAGAAAGAGTTACAATACTATTTAGAATAACTTGGAATAGAAAATACTACTTTTAACCTTATTTTTAAATGTGATATTTTATAAAGAACTAAAATGAATAGAGGCTTGTATGAGTATGGTATAGAAAATCAAGCTCAAAATCAGAAGACAAGACTAAATTCAAATATTCTAAACTTATTTTTTGCTTAGACAATACAGACTCTCCCAGAGTCTAGAGAGTGTTTGATCTAAGCTGTGATACTGTGCTATGTGCGTGGAGAAACATTATTTAAGTCCTAAATTATTTAGTGAACACTAATATGTAGACTGCTTTGTTCATGCTTGTCAAGCAGCACATCTGGTAAGAATACCAGAGTAGACTACGTCTACTCTTTAATACTGTAATTCTACTATATTAAAAATAAATTTAAGTATGCTTATTTAAAGTCTTAGAAACCTACTTAAAAATGTTTGAAAAATTATTTTTGAGAAACATTAAGAAACTGAAATATTGTTGAAGATATTAATAATATCCCTTGTAACTGAGTTAGACAAATTCAGGCTACTACTACATGAGAGTCTATATCCCACAGCCTTCCAAGCAGCACTGCTGTCAGAAAGTGTATTTGTCTGCACAAGTCTTTGGCAATTATTAAATAATAGTAATAGTTCCTGGAAGAGCTTTGTTCATTTATTTGATAAGAGGAATTTAATTTTGCTTTATAATGTTTATGCAAAAACAACTATATGGAAACTTTGTCTACAGAATGTTAAAGGTAGACCACCTACCTTTCAAATCTTTGCAGTTTTATGTCCCCAGTATAAGTCCTCACTGCTAATTAATGAACATCTGCTATGTCTAATTAATTTTTTAAAAGCTGATATTAATTTTGAGAATTTTTTGGGGGGGGCAGGGGAAGGCAACAAAAATTTATTGTTGCCATTCTTTTGAAGACATTCTATGTATTTGCCAGGCAAAGTTCTTGATAAAGATGGGAAAATGGAATAACAAAATGCTCTAGACCCCAGAGGTTGGCAATGCAGTTCCTTTAGTACTGAATTTGTTTAAATGTTTGAATTAACACATCTGCAAAGGAAAAGCCAAAACTAAATGAAAGCAGAACATGCTAGATATAGATAACATTTCTGTATCAAAATAGCATATCTAGCCATACCAGGGTTGTCATAGCTGATGTGCTTTGTGAAACATGCTCAGTATGAACATACATGAACATATTTAAATGAAAAATTATCCATTTCCACAAGCTAACTGTAGGTAATCTCCATTTTATTTGCCTCTCTAGATTAAACCTTATGTTATTAGGAGGAGTCAAATAATCCAGATTTTTTCCACACAGAAAAGACATTTTGATATTATAAAAGTGGATGGTAAACTTAACAGTGTGGTTTAGTTAAACGTGAATTTCTGCAGTGCGTGCATAGGCAGTGCTCATGGGCATTCATTTTTGTCTATGCAAAGACAAAGTTAACTGCAAGTTAACTCCAAGTTAAGACTAGATACAGTTTTCAAAATTGACTTTTGTTACATAGAAGATACTGCTTACGACTTTTTTAGGCAGCAGAGACATTTAAAGTGTTCACCACTCTTTCTCTTTAGATTCCTATATAAATCTCTGCCACTGAATTTGAGCAGCTAGATGCACAGGATTTAAAGTGTAGACTGGCTGAGTGGTGCATTTTTTATGCATTGTGAGAAAACAACTTAATATAAACGTATTTTTGTCAAAAAGCTTCCACCTTTCTTTAAATGATCTGGCTATTCTAGAGCAATCTTCTACATTGCATCCCCCTGAAAACAAATTGGAGATTCTTTGAAGTATGTCATACTCAGTATTTAAAAACAAAGATAACCAAAGCATAAGGCTGTCTACCTTCAAAAAGATCATAGAATCATAGAATCTGTTGGGTTGGAAGGGATCTTTAAAGATCATCCAGTCCAACCCCCCCTGCAGTGAGCAGGGATATTGTTGCTAGATCAGGTTGCTCAGAGCCCCATCAAGCCTGACCTTGAATATCTCCAGGGATGAGGCCTCCACTACCTCACTAGGCAAAACATTCCAGTGTTTCACCACTCTGATGGTGAAGAACTACTTCCTAACATCTAATCTAAATCTAACCCGCTCTAGTTTAAAAACATATTATTAATTTCCTTCATTTTTGAGATTTGTCATTGAAATTAAGATGTGGACTGATTTCTGTTATATCAGAAATAAGATTACTAACGAAGTTATGTTTCTCTAACATTACTTTAGGGGTTAGTTTTATCTTTGTTACACATCAGTTCTCCCAGGGCTGCAAGATTAAACTAATTTCTGAAATTTATTTGTTCAAGAGTTATATATATTCAAAAGACCATGATGCAGTTCCTGTCCCAGTGACACTGCACTCTGCAAAGCCTTGTGACTATTTTAGATGTTTCTTTTAGATTTTCAAAGCTTAGTAAGTTACCCTAACTTCAGTAGGCAAAAATGTAATTGTCTATTTTGATGTTATTTTCTTGGATTATGAAATCTAACTAGAGAGGCAGAGGGAGATGCTCCCAGCTACTAGTCCATCCTGCCCATTTTAGAGACTTCTATAAGGATGGAAGAATTTCAACCTCTGTAATTGCCAGTGTCTTTCCATTTACCATAAAAAGACCCTTAGGTGGTTATCTTAAATGAAACACCTAAATCATATCACAATACCAAGGAAACATATTGCTTGAATAACTGCAACTGTGTGCATGTGTGGGAGGGTCTCATGTACACACATAGGTAAATGGAGAAATGAATAAATTAAATTTTGCATATGTACATGTACATATGTGTTTGTGTGTGAGAAAAACAATATATATCTCCATAAACTGTGGGTATATTTATGGAAAAGAATGATGAAAACTTGCAGAATTGGCAGTAGATTTTGATGTATTTTCAGGCTGATCTGTAAAGTTATTGAAGTCAACAGGACAGTTTACACTAGCTTTTTTGCACAAATTATCTGATCCTTTCTGAAGAATTTTAAAGTCATGAACTTCTACTCCACTGCTTTTTGTGTTTTAGTTAAACTTTCAAAAATGTTGCTGTTTACTTTGTTAAACTAGGATCTAAGGCAGGTTTTAAGAGGTATATAGGTCTTATTTTTTAAAACAATATATAGTCACGTGCAGATATTTTTTATGTTAAAATCTGTCTTTTCTCTCTTGTTTTAATGCAGTGAACCTGCAAAACATTGTGCAAAAAAATTTTGGAGTTAGGCTCATAACCAATGAGGTATGAATGAATTTGGATTGAAAATATATGTTTTTATACATTAACTGTCAAAAGTTTTAATGAAACTCCTCTTTTCAAGTTTCTTTTCAAGTATCTATAAATAAGATTTATAAGTAAGTTCAGCGTGTTCTTAAGCTGAAATTTTAATTCTCATTACTTGGATGATCCCACAAAATGAACTAATTTCGTCTGATACTCCAAGGTCCTCAGTAACCCTTTAAGCCAGTGGGAGCTGAGAGCACTCAGCGCACTCAGCTCATAAGCATTCTTGTCCTGCTTGCTAGTGACTACAGGTATTATTGATAATAACAGTATAGTCCTGACCTACTGCGAGCCTCCGGAGGTACCTTAAAGAGCTGTCAGCCTTCACTCCAAAGCTTTCCTATTACAAAACTTAAAAAATAAGTCTCAAAACACTTACTGGAGATGATGAGTTTTGTGCCAGAACTGAATGTCATGCCAAACTCCCACTGGTACATTCCCTTACAGAAAGTCTTGCCAAATTTTGGCCAAAGACCAGTTTTGACAACCATTATATGAACGATAAGAGTCTATTCAGTTGGCTAGATGAATGTAGAAACAATCTCAGCTAATGTGGCTGTTCCCAAAGAGCCTTTAGTGATAGGTACTTTAAATTCAGTTCCAAGCTAATCTATGCCATCACTTGTTTAAAAAAATATCATAACAAACCAAAACTGTTGTCCAGGACATTGATTGAGCTACCATATTTCCTTTAGGGTTTTTTTACAGAAAAAAATGGCGCTTTTTTCTGGGATGGTGAGTGTTTTTGACCACGCTATTTAAAAATACAGGTATACTTAGGCCACTGTTTAAGTGAATCAATGAAAGGCAGTCCTGAACAGCCACAACTCCTCTCAAGCCTCATGGAGGGTCATTTACTCATTTTGGGCCTAATGCTCTGCATGTTGACATTACTGTAATCTTCATACTGAAATGGATGCAGGATCAGGACTGATAACTCTCAAATCCTGC